TTTCAGTCCTTCTTTTTTTTGTTTTTTATCCACCGTTTCCTTCCCTTTCGTTTCCTTTCCTTTCCTTTCCTTTCTTTTGCTTTCTTTTCGTTTCGTTTCTTTTCGCTTCGTTTCCATCCCTCTTCTTTTTTTCTCTCTTTCCCTCTTCTTTTTTTTGTGGGAAGCACGTGTGGTTTGGGCCGCTTGTGTCGCTTCTGATAAATGCCCACAACACGGAGGTTCAATTCGAATTCCTCGGGCTCTGTGTCGAATATGAGTAGAGTTTCTGGTTAGTCACTTTCCTGTGCTTCGAGGATTTTTGTCTGGGTTTCCCTGTCTCTCTCCTTAAATCAACTTTTTAATTCGAGCCTGGCTCTGATAGTCACACTGTGAACAAACAAACATTGATTGATATATATTTTTTCGTTTCTTTTTTTTTATTTCCTTGTACAACTGCAACTCCTTTAATAGTTTTTTATTGTCTTTTTGTTGTTGTCGAGAAAATACAAATGTTCGATTTGCTCAATTTTCTGGTAACTTTCCAAAGCTTTTCTTGAAGTCTAGAGCTTTCTGCACTTCTCTCCAGTTAACAAATAAAATCGAGGTGAACAGAAACTTCATACTATAAATCCGGATGTGTTGCATGTTATTCTAGAGATTCATGAAAGAGAGACTCAAAATATACAGCAATATACAATATGAGAGCACCAGCTAATAATTGTTAATTAAAATTAACATTTATTAACTAACATAAATTATTTATTTGCAAGTCATTAAAAAACTCTATTTGATTTGTTTTATAAAATAACAAACGCGCGAAAAGATGGAAAAAAAGCAAAGTCTAAGTAAATTCTCCCTACGTGCCGTCTTATTCAAACTGACCAATGAGCGCGCGCGATAGATTAAAAATGACGATAGCGCGTTTTGATACTCTCATCAAACATGGTTTTCGACCAATCATAGCGCGCGTAGTATCCCAATTATTTTATAAAGTTATACTTAGGTTTCCAGAAGCAACGGAACGAAATCATCAGTTAAGATCGGCTGAGGCTGTTTTACGCTTGTATGATATTAAGCCTATCGTTCCTTTCTCCTCCCAGTACAGCTTAGAATAGTCTTTTCTTGCCGCAAAGTACTTTCAAGGAATTCTTCTTTTTTTGATATATACTCGAATTTTGTAAATAATAATTAATATTCCAATTCAAATGAAAAGCAGCTGTGAGCAGATCTAGACGAGCAAGTATTTGTAATTAATACCTCCTTTCAAAGACAATTAGTATTATTATTTTCTCTTTTTTTCTTCTTTCTGATACACGGTTCTAAAGAATTGTCTAAAGCTGAAAAATTTTTTGCCTCCAACGATTTATACTAGATTCTGAACGTTTTTGTTTGTCCTAAAAGTAGCGTATCTGTTGAGTTGCCTACTTTTCTGGCTGAATACTACTGTTTCTTTACTTAATTTTTTAGTTCAATTGACTCCATGTTATTTATTTAGACTGTTTTGTAACCAAGCATATTAGAATCTCATGTAAGCTTCTTCGATCTACTCTAAGGGTTAATACGAGAATTAAGTGTTTAAATTTAAAAACATCTTCTGGGGTCTTCGATTCAATTCCGAGATCACTTTGATGCCCAGTAAGGGTGTTACAGCCAGATATAGATTTGAGAGGTAAATGTAAAGTTTTACTACCATAATACGGGGAGGAGTTGCCAAACTCTCCCGAGCTAGGGGTCCACGTATAAGAAGGCGCTCGATTGGCGACGACCAAGTTTGCCGATTGCACATAGGCAATAAAAATTTCTGGCAGATAATATGAAATTAATAAATAAAGTGACATCAAAAAAATTATAATAAAGAAGGAATAACGTAAACAAACTTTTATCGGGCATTCTCGGGACTTTGAATGGATGTGATAAGATTTTAAAGAGAAACCAAGAAATCATAAAAAGAATATGTTGTTCAAAAGTCATTTGTGGAAGATCGTGGACGTTGAATAAGGAAAGTGCTTAACGAAAGGAACCTGTTTAACATTTCGTGTCAGCAACAAAAAGCTGAGTAAACACCATTTTAAAAAAATACAATAAATTAACAAAAGGTGAAAAATAAAAACACGAACCAAAAAAAACACGAGACATTTATGCTCTACTTTGCTTTAAATTATACAGAAACACTTTCAGACTCGTTTTTGAAATTGTACTTACAAACGAGGAAGAGGATGCCAGACTTGTAGTGCTGCTTCTTATCTTGGCAAAAATACCTCGGGAGATTAAATGCGCTGAATTTATAAACTCCTTTTAAGAATTGTCATATTCGTGGGATCTGTCCAATGGCAAACGTAGGAGGAATCAAATGACGTCATATCTATCAACCTTGTATGAAACCGCTATACGTTTAAACATTAAATGCACTGATACCGAATTTATTGTTATACCTTTTCTAGCTACTATGATACTACTTTGGGACAAGCTAAAATGTTTTCAAAATATATATACTTATTTCAATAAAGTTAGTCACCAAAAACCAGGAAAGCTGAGATCACTGAGGATAATGGGAAACAATTCATTTCAAACAAGTACAGCTTTTTTTGATACAAACTGCAGCTTGAGGATGCTCAGAGGTGAGACTGTAATTTGTAAAAGATGAGCAAGTCCATCAACAGTTATCAAGCGGTTAAAACATGTAAATGTATCTAC